CACCACAATGGCGGGCCGGCGGCTAAGGGAAGCAGTCAAGGAGACATTGATAAGTAACAGCAATGGTGAATTTGATGACGAAACCCACATTGTAATAGCAGGCCTCACAAATACTTATTCCCAATATATTGCAACTTTTGAGGAATACACGCAACAGCGATATGAGGTACATACTCATCTGTTTAATGAATTTCTCCAAATGGATCCAGGGGAAACAATAACTTAACTTTGCAGTGATTGTAATCCTACATTAATTCTCAATGCATAATGGAATCTGCAGGCTGCTTCCACTCTCTATGGTCCTCACACGTTATCAGCATACATCCAAGAATTTGAGAAATTAGCCAAAGCAATGGCGAAGGGAGAAAAAATCACTAAAGGTCCCTCACCACCAGATCTTTCCTCTGTGCAACTCATAAATTTACGTGAACCTACTGGAGACTTACCTCCCCCGCATACAAACTTTGGAGATATGAAACAAGATATCATTTTACCAAAGAGTGGCTCATTCAAAAAGGGAGATAGACCAATTGCCACATTTTGGAGTGCAAATCCAAGATATGACCTATTGACAGAAGGCACATTTGCAGTGGTAGAGCTGCTTCAAGGAAAACATTGGGTTCCGGTTTACGATGATGATGATTTCTGCCTGTTTTTCAAGTGGAAAGTAGACAACAGTACCTTATATGGCACAGCAACCATAGAATGGGAAATACCAAGGGATGCAGATTCGGGGGTGTACAGGCTAAGGCATTTTGGTTCGTCAAAGAAAACCAAGGACTCCCCCAATATCTACTTCACTGGCGCATCTAGTGGATTTGCAGTGTCCTAAATATCTATTTAATATTTTCTTCCCTGCATTTAAGTGCAAGTGCTGCACATTATACTTGCAGGCTAAATTCCAAAGTGGCCCTTCTAACAACGCTTTAAAGAGCAAGTCATAATTTCTCATGTTTTAGGGGTCTCTGAAGGTCCCTTCCTCAGGCCAGATAAATCTACATAAATAAGACAATACTAAATTGTTATGGGCAGGCATCAATTTTCTAGTTGATTCTTCAGAATACAAAATCCTCAATGATATTAACACCTGGAATTTCTTACTTGTGGTTTTGTACAAGGTTTGAGTCCTGCTGAAATGGCCCTATATTTTTTTTAGGGTAATGTACTGTGAAAAAGAAAAACACAAAAGAGGAGCTTCTCTTGGAGGACTAACAAGATAAACAATAGAGGAAAGAGGCATGGACTAACAACATTCAAGGGTGCTCAGCATCGC